GCCGATGCCATGGATCTAGATGCCAACACATGGACCTGCAGCCACTGCACCTTCATCAATCGCGGCGAGTTGAACTCCTGCGAAATCTGTTCGCTGCCGAGATAAGGATTCAATCAGTTAAAAGCGTGCTCCAGCCGTCAGCTAAGCGCGACGAAAAATTCTGGTGTTAAAACGAAACTAAAGATTCAATCATACTTACTATACATATAAATAGCAGAGGGGCACTTGGATGCAGTGAAAGCCAATCGAAGGCGTGGCAACACAAACTCATCGCATGCCGTACGCGTTCTCTATAAATGTAATCTTGTATAAGCGTTTTAAAAGAAATTTAATTTATTTCTAAATAAATTTAAATTGTTGAGTATACAACAAATGTGCAGATTTCCGAGGCTAATACATATATGTATACTCCCTAGAAATTTTCTTCAAGAAAAGACGATTGATAGTAAACCGTAAATCCTTGTTTAAGAAACTAAACCTTCTAATCCGCCTTTATTTGTGGAGTAAATCACATATATATATCGGAATAATAATAATAATCCATATATTTTCATATATATATATATGTGAAACACCTGGATATATATATATATATATCAGCAATGGAAAAAGGGAAACATATAAAGTAACCTGTGGCCGAAAAGTTCCTCAAAATGAGCTTCAGGAACTGACATAAGTTTAGTTTAAATTCAGAATTCAGTTTTTTCGGAACTTTTCTAGATTGCAGTGTATGTACCTACTTATAAGGCAATTCGGTTTTCTTTTTAAATTAGTTAAGAGTTGGCGTAAGTGTAATGATGGCGTTTCGTTTAGCGTCTGCTAAATCTCCGCTACGTGGACTCCTCAATGCTCTGCCAAAGGTGAAATATAGATGCTGTGCTGATGTAATAATTATTCGATAACGATTTCTCTATACCTGTATTTTAGTTAAGTTTTGGTAAATATGGCTTAGTTCGAAACAGCAGTATATTTGTTGGTAAGTGTTTTCACAATTTTTACGAAGATATCATTGGACACCTGACAATACATAATTTGTAGAGCCACCTGTTCCTTGGTTGGATAATCCAAGTATTGTCTTTTCATCCACTGCCTTAAAACATCATTGGGGGGTAAGTAATTGCATTGTTCAAGCTTGGCATCGTTAGAACCTATTATTCTATTAACAGTATTTCTATTAGTCCGCATTATATTCCTTTTCGATACCTTCAT